TGGGAGTGAAGAAGTATTCCGGATCGCAAACCTCATATGCATCAAAGAGTACCCTTAGCATGAATAAGTGTACATCGATGATACGACTATGAGGGAAGATGCGAAAATTGTGAGAAAAATTCTGCTGTGGGTTAGTCTCTGCGATCAAACGTTCCAGATGAGTGGAGAAGGACACAGGAAACGTGAAAGAAGTGTACATCACATCCAATGAGAAATTTTAGGGAGAGGCTGTCGCGAATTCAAGAATGGTCCCGGAGCAGAGCACGTCATATGTTAGGGATCCTCGGCAAAGGGTCGTATTTGCTCGCTGAAGGGTGGGGGTCGTTCGTATTTTGATTGACTTTTCCCCAACGGGAGGATGTGTTCCATAGTGTACTGCTGTATAAGAAATCGCAAGTTTCTAGCTTTATTCACTTTTGAGCTGCTAGCGTGCTGCACTTCTACGGCCGCGGACCGCACTCTGAAGCTATCCTCAGGTAACCACACGGTGTGTCCTAAAATGCAGCGATGTCTGTTCTTGAGTCCAAACAACAGAGCTGAGACAATCGAGAGAAACGCTCTACGCTGACCCCAGACAGGTTCTCCAAATGGATGGCGTGGGCAGATCTGCTGCTGCATAAGGACACCATTCACTTGCGCTTGGGAATTAACATCTTAGAGATTTGAGTACTTGAAGTACGTGCGGGCATTCAGCAAGGTGCAAAAGTGGGAATTAGATAAACAGAAGGGAAAGCGAAGCAGGTGTTCAACCTATTGGGATGCTTTGAGTTTTCCTCTGTGCTAACGAAGTTAGGTAGAAGTCCTTACTAATGACTGACATTTCGTCTAGATCGTCCTCATCAGACGCCTAATCATAGCTCATGGCTCAGAAAAATGTTTCCCTCCACCATGTGTCTCTCCTTTGCGTCTCTCCCCATTGACGTGCCTGACGGACTATCTGACATGCACCCAAAATATCCCGAGTGAGAAATAGGAGCCTCCAAGTTCACCACTGCGGACTGCCTCTATAGTTTTCAGCAAAACACGTGAGACTAACTGTGCCGCCTCAAAAAGTAATCAATGGGGCACGTCTAGTCCAGTTTCACTTAAAACTGACAGAGAGGTAGCTTTCTGCTACCGCAGTGCGGACTTTGAGAATCTTTTCTCAAATTCGGGATTCTTCTTATGTGTATACAGTCCACTTCCAAAAACACGTCGGAAGGAAGGAGTTTGGTGGTCTAGGAATACTATTATACAAACTATGAGCTATATTTAGGCCTCTAATATAGACGCTCGATGATCAGGTCGTAAGCTCGCTACTACTTGCGCAACGCTTTCTACCATACTGGAATTTTAAGGTTACTCATAAATTTCTGTATCATAGGCATAAACAGCAAAAGCGCTTTGGAACGTAAGTAAAACGAAAGCTTGGCCAACGCGAACCACATCTTAGACGAACACTCGCTGATAGCCGAGTTCAAAAAACGAGAATGTATACAAGAAAGAACTCACCAATGAAATAAAAACAGGAGAAACAGCCGAAGACGTCCTGAATACGGGTCCATGTTCTCGAGCAATAACCAGCAGACGGTAGTGCGTTCCATCGTTTATAGATGTCACAGCGTTTACACATGCACCAATCTTTTCCCTATCACTCTCAACTCCCTCTGTAACATTGATGACTACAAGCCTCCAGTAACCTGACCAAAAGTACGGATGGGTTTTTTGCGTCTAACCATAAGTCGTACGCCACGCGCATGTTAAAACGACGAGAAGGGCGCGAAGTTTGGGATGACCACCCGGTCAGCTTAGGAGAACCACACCTTCGGCCTGAGTCATCGTCTCATGGGCCATCTCATGCAAACCCATAAATTCTTTCAAAACGGACAGCCTGAGCAATGCAGCCAAATTTATCCCCCTTTCAGCTGCATGAAAGAGCACAGATTTCATCATCATCATCATCATCATCATCATCATCATCATCATCATTTCGCAGAATATCTGAACAGTACTTCCAAACCTCAGCATTTTCCATTGGTTTCCAGTCATTTTATGGCTGTTAGCTGTGAAAACCCATCCCTTTGCTGCAATCCGCAAGTCGCCTCTACCACACGTCTCGCTTAGCCATTCAAATCAGGCACTGATGATGCAACGAGCCAGTACCTGTAAGGACGATCCACTTCGCTCCACGGCGACCTACTACAACTTGGATACCCTCACAGGGTCTATTAGTGTATCAGGACATTCATTCTTCGCGAGCGAGCGCGATATGGGAGAAGCACAACGGTGACTGAGCGCTTCAGGGCTAATCGTTGGACCACTGCATCGGCCACAACAACTTCTATAATTATAACTGAATTAGCAGCTACAGCGGTCCAACGCCTGTAACGGAGCAGAATCGGCCGTAGTCACATGAAGCCTACAGCACGCGACTCAATCGCTCGAACCAAGAACTATGAACGCTGCCTTAAAGTCACTCACTCACCCCCGAAAACTTCGTTCTTTGCCAAGTGCAAGATGGCTGGGCTCGCAGCTGCAGTACAGTTTCACTTTCTTCGCCCAACAATGCAAGTGAACGAGGCTGTAAGGTAGCGGTACTCAGGAGCCGTCTCAATAATTCGCTCTAAAACTTCTCAGAACATTGGAGCATCCTGGGATAGTAGGTCAAAATGTGCGGAAATCCCATGCTTTGGTGCTACCATGCTGAATCCTCAGACCTGTCTTGCGAAGGCAAACGAACAGCGAGCATGGCAATACCAAGGCATGAGATCTCCGTCTGCTTTGATGTTCTAATTTGCGCTCAGCAGCAGAGAACAACAGAAGTGAGAGGGCCCACGCAAGTAGCACGTTTGGCTATGATTAACTGGCCGTGCAGCAGTTCAGATAAAAGAAACCACCTGGGTATCACTGCCCTCCCATACCACTCCCGTGCCCTTTCAAGCGAAGAAAGTGACACGCGTGACACGCAACTGCATCTCCGAACCCGTTCACCTTGCACACGTCAAGAACTAGGATTTTGGGAGGTAAGGCCTTTCAGTATTTGCACCAAAGCATCTCCTTAGATTGAGAACTTCTCAGCGGAAGGAGTGGGTCCGTATTTTAGTGACAAAAGAGTGATTGCTTAAAAAGATTCAAATTTTGCCAACTTCCAGTTACGCCCTACCCCATACACACTGATTCCGAAGCATAAAAAAGGTGAAACTGTGTGACCCATATAGCACAAAAAGCCGAGCTAATCTATTGATCAATGATCAATTAGTTGTGTTAACGTATCGTTTTGGTGCCAAGGACATTTCTCACGCATGGCGCACTTTCACGCCACTCACAGTTACTTCCAGAGAGGTATCTTTACCTTTTGATTTCGCCCTTCTCACAACCTACCGTTTCTGTTCCAAGTTTTCGCGAAATTTCACCGTCTTGCGCGGCGTAATGAAGCGAGGAGGAAAGTGCGGAAGAATATTTCCGTTAAACTGTCAGAAATTTAACGCGTCGATGTCGTTTGTGGGCTACAAACGAGCGTGAAACCGCGTGAAAAAAAACCAACTATAGGGAAAAAACTGTGCCCAATGTCTAATGGCCCCGCTTTCACAGCAACTAACTGGGACCTCCTAATGGGTTTCGCATAACGATGCTGACTCCGTCGCACCGTAAGCGCGGACAATAGGTCAATGCGTGCCTTCATTCTTTGCGTCAACGTTACAGCAGCGTTTTGAGCGACTAGGAAAGTATAGGTATTGATCTAACGTTTCGAGCATACGCTGACATTTTCAGCGTCCGCCTGTGAAACGCTAAAAATGATGGCGTAAGCTCCAAACGATGACGCAAAGTATGGACGTGGCCTTAAAATGGCATCACTGTTTCAACAAAGGCGCTCTGCTGCGCTCCAATACGCGTCGCGTGACACGTCCTATCGTTTGCAGGGATCATGACTGCTGAACCGATATTGGTGAAATAACCACTGGTAGCTAGATTTGAGCGCTTTCTTGACGACGATTCATGATTGAATAATAAAGTCATCAGACCTACTCAGAATGGTGGTTTGTAGGTTGAATTCTGAGAATGGAGAACAGTTTTGATAATTGTAGATGAGAAGGAGTTTCAGACTTCAGCAGATAGAATGTCTTGATATCATGATTTGTTGACCATTCGACGTGCGGCAATCTTTGAACAAACAATCAGAAGAAGAAAGGAAACAGAAATAAGATTTTATCATTTGACGACAACCAACACAGTTTGAAGAAGATAGGACAAAAAGGTAAATAGTAGTGGTATCTACGAAACTTGAACTTGTTTTCTTCCGACCTTAATCATCATAAATTTGCCAGTGCCCCCAATTTTGAAAGGGATTTGAGATAAATTATAGATCCCGTAGGTTCGGCTGAGGGTGAAGATAAGGGAATAGGAAGTATTTCATGAATGGAACGGTTGGATGGAGAACAGACAGTTGATGACGAGATAGGAAGTACACAGAATAGAATGGACGGTGGATAGAGAGCCTGAGAGATCGTCAGAAGAACCGTTGCTTTCTAGATTTCTCGTTTCCCCACCCTGCGCTCCTGTGCTTCATTGACCACACGTTCTATCATCAATCTGCACATACGCATATTTTTTTCATCGCCAGTCAAACTGAAAAAGCAAAAACGCGAGTAAGTACAATCTCATTTCAATATTCGATTCTTCAAAGCGACCGCAAACCTGATAAGCCTTGTTCCAGCTGGTACATCTGCCTTCGCATCCCTCTTGAACACTTGTACTTTACATCCGCTATAGAACTGAATTTCCTGCAGTGTTTTCGCCTTTGGACCCAACACTGCCCCAACAACACTGTCCGGAACCTAAAAATAAATGAGCTATTATAAACAATATTACCTAAAGCATAGGCAAAGTAAGTAAAACTATCACGCTGCCCGAAAATAAGGGGTTATCTCCATAGAACTACGGTTAAGACAGAAAAGTGTGCGCTCAGATTCTGGTATACAATGGGACAGCTCATGAGGCTGCGTTCACACTTCGCGTCAGCGTTCACCAGCGTTTCGAGGGACTTGAGAGGTATAGATAACGATCTAGTGAACTTATGAACTCAATCAAAACTGCTCGCGAAAACGCTACCGTATGCTACTGGACACTCTAGACGTGCATTCAACTATCTAATAAAGCCCATCTAAGGTCACCAGCGCGTGTTTTCGTTCTTTTTCTCTCTCCGACAATACAGAACCGATAACATCAAGCTATCTGCTATAAAGATGCGATCATACTTTGTGCTAGCATCCAGAACGTACTGCAGCGTTTTGAGCGACTAGGGCGACTAGGGACGTATAACTGATCTAGCGTGCTGAGCGTACGCCGCCGTTTTTAGCGTTTCGCGGGCAGTCGCTAATAATGCTGATTTCAAGCACGGACGCTGTTAACCGTGTAGGCGACCAAAATGGGCGCTACCATGGATGAGTGGTCCGCCAGATGATTCAGTGTCAACTATCGACCGACAACGCGAAGCATGAATGTGAAATCTAATAAATGCGCCTTTCGTTTGTCACTCTCCGTAACTGTATTCGCCCATCGAAATGTTTTCCTACTAGATATTCTTCAATTTACCTCTAGCTCAACTGAATCGCTGGTAATGTTACGTTCGACCATCACGGACGCTGCAAAATTCTCGCCATTTGCTGCAGCTCCTGACTGACTCCTCAACACATCCACCAGTAGCAGATTGACAGAGGTAGGCTAGAAACGTATCTCCTTCAGACTGACTCATTAAAACAAACTTACGAAGTAATAAAAAGCAGATTAAAGTAAATTCATGTTATTGAGAAAAATTTCAAATCAACTATTACAAGCAGAAAGTGTTTCGCACAATTCTAGACGTAAGTTGACCTACCACATCTCCACCACCAATATGTCCACTCTGATCACCGAATCCAGCAACACCGTGATTAGTCTGCGGGGTCGTTTCTTGAGCAGACCGCATTTGTGCCATTGCTGCCACGCCCAGACCGAGACCAAGGCCCATAATATTGTACTTGGCGAGAACCTTGAATAAATACTTTCTATGACTGGTATCATGAGACAGCGCTTATTCTTACCTGCATAGCCTGCATTACTTCTGCAACGCTGGCTTCATTGAAGCCAGACGAGCGAAGAGTTGACTGAAGATTGTCGAGGAAAGACAGCAGCTAAACAGCAAAGTCTTTCTCCTTCCCAAATATAAAGCTGCTTTCATACTTTGCGGCAGCATCCACCAGAGTTTGCCAGCGGACCGCAGCGCCAAGGAGTGGAGAGGTGGGGAAATGAGATGGTAGCAGACAGCTGGACTGGGCGTCGTGGAAATGCGACGTCTGCAACCGACCGTAGTACTGCCAAAGCACAGAATTAAGCAATTTTTATGTACGGTGAGTTGCACAAGCCGCAATTTCACGGCGCCTAATCTAGCTGTCCGCTACACTACTGCTTCCCTACACTCCCCACTCCTGTACGCTGCTGTACGCTGGCGTTCGTTAGATCGATGTCTATATCCTAATCGCTGGCCTGGCTGCCGCAACGTATGAAGGCAGCCAAACACGGAAAACAAGCACTATCTATAGCATATTCGACTGAGCTCTAGAAACCTGGTAATAATAATATATTTGGTCTACTCGAATACTCAATAAAGTCACAAGGTTCAGTTTTAGTTTCAGTTTATCAAAGTTTCATAGTCACAAAGGCGAATAGCAGCTAAGAGGAATAGGACATGCAACAGCAGTAAATGAAAGGCAGCTTTCGAGCTATCCTATCTCAAACAATACCTCATGATTTCCGAGACCTCCCATAGGATTGTACTTTAACGCCGATTGCTGGGAGCTTTGATGCCCGAATGTTTGACTCCCGAAGAGAGATGGAGTGGCGTTAAATGTGGTAGAAGCACCACCATTACTGAACAAGCTGCTGGACGTGACCGACGTATTCCCAGTCGAAAACCACAATATTTAAGATATTAAGGCTATCACTGAACATAAATAAACCAATTCACTCTTACTGGTCCTCCTTTTGCACCATAATCTTCTTTACTGATTTCGCTGCCATGATGAGGATCCGCAACAACTCTTTCTAGCACACGGCAAGTGGCTTGGATTAATTGCTAAAAAGAAGAATTTTACTATAATTGATCGTATACATATCCATTGACACACCAACGAGATCTCAGACTGGTGATTCCCCTTCTCACGTCTTACTGCCCGCACTTTAGAAATAGGAACAAATCACACGGAAGACGGACAATTGCAATTTGGCGCGTCTTCGCGCGCAACCAGTCGTACGGCGATGTGCGGCAAATTATTGGTGTGCATCGTCTTGTCGCTTGCAGCAACGAGACGCCAAAATTATTGGTGTGCATCGTCTTGTCGCTTGCAGCAGCGAGACGCATCTTAATCCAAACGGAGAGAAGGCTCCATGCCAGGCGATATATTGAATTTCCTCGAACTTTTGGCACTCGAAATGAAACTATTAGACGGGACAACCCATCTGACGGGCGCGACGTCGCTCGCCACCCCACAAGCACGGCATATCACGACTGTCTTGTCACATATCCCAAACTCATGAACCCAGGATTGAGGCTTTCAAAAGTTGAAACCCTCTGAGACTTTGAAATAAGACATATCATACCAAGATATTTTCTTCTACTTTCACAACTCTGCACAACTAAGTTTCGACCAGGCCAGTACTCCCTCACCTACACTAGACCAGAGAAACGAGCTCCACTACATGTTACTTACCGCGTGATCCTCATGCGCCAGTGTAACAATTCGCTCTAGCGAGTTCTGTGCTTCAGGTGAGCCCGCTTTAGGAAACACCTAGAAGAAAGAAATATGTATTAAGGTGAAACTCGAGATCTGCCAGGTCTGAGAACTCACCTGAATCTGACAACCATATGTCTCACGGATATCCTTGATATTAGCACCAGATTTGCCGATCACCATACCAGCAGATGTGTTTGGCATAACCAGTTTCACCTGAAGGTTTAGCCCAATCAGAAGAGAGCATTGTAAACATAATTGTGCCATATTTAAGGCAGATGTCAGCAAAGAGAAAAGAAATACTTTTGCCCTAATTTTCCATCAAGTTAATGTTTTTCTGACGTGAAGTCCTAGTGTTCAAAGCTTAGGAATTTATTGTTCGAATGTTCCTAAACGCCCCCCCCCTCATTTGACGCTTTCCCTGGACTACGTGGTCCTACTCGCAAGCGTGGAGTATGTACTGCATTCGCAGCCCAAAGAATACGTGAGGAGAGCGCGACACGCTTGCGACGGCTACGGCTCCGCCCACTGGCCTGGACAACGTCCACCATTCTTTTCTAAGGCAACCTGGTGGTGCGGCTGTTCCACAACCGACCCTCTCTCTCTTTCTCTATCTACACAGAATGGTAGTGAGTTGAAAAAGAGGTGGCACCAACAAGCGAAACCTCGTCTGGCCATGCCCTTTCTTAAGAAAGTACAACAGCAGTTCAGCATAGAACCCTACATGGGGCATTTTCGGCGAGTATTTATGTTTTTTTCATCACCAGTGCTGATTAGCACCGTGTCATTGGCATTTGAGCAGCAAACACCACCTTGGGATGCAGTGCCTGCCTTTAAGCTTCGATCGATACAACATGGTGCATCCTGTTAAATAATCAGCTTTTGGCAAACGCCAACCAGATTGCCTGCTTACACTAGCGCTGTATGTCATCAAGCCACAACTACAGGCGCCTGAGCTCGCTGCTTGAAATGCTGCTCAAAGTTTGTTGATAGTCGCCCATCAACAAACTTTCGCTATTCTTACAAACTGAATCTTCCCCTCCCCGCCTGGGAAAAAATACCAAAAGCTTTAGGAGGTGAAGCCTTGTGAAAGCGGACCCATACGACAGAACGCTTATTCATTATTTCATGCACTGCAGATTGGATCCTCAGCTGCAATGAGAACAGAACTATCTGTGACAACAGCCGAAAAAAATCCAGAGATCCCAACCCAGCATTCTAATGACCTTTATTGGGAGGCTGAAGACCTAATGGACTGGCAGCAGCCGAGATGGAGTAAGACCACCACTTTGAATCGCACTAATTTCGAGGGGGGGGGGGTTGGGGAGTGACATAGGCAGTGGGTGAGAAAAGCACACCATTGGTGCGCACACAGCGCGTTCCGAGCGATGGCACTGACGTGCTGCCATACTGCGTTTGACAGATTTAGCCTTCCCCACTCATGTTCGCCTTCAATCGGTAGCGCCGGAAGGTGCAGTGGTAAATACAACCGGTAATCACGGTGGAATCAAAATAGTTCTCGTGAAGTGATCCCGGGATTGTGATTCTTCTTGGAATATGCTTTTCAGCGGTTTTCCATGCCCTGGTGCTGCTAGTCAGCCCTTACTTGTTACTTCTTGCCATGCCGTTGTCCTTCTGACGGTAACCACTCATCGACAAGGCCGAGCTCACTGAAAACGCTCGTTCCACTATTTGCTGAAACGAGCAAGCGACAAGTTTGTATCATATCACCCGTATCAGTCGTTTTCCGCCAACTGCTGTCGCTTACCAGCACATACGTCGATACCAAGATCCCGTAGCGGAACACGCGCTCAGCGGTAGAGAACAACCATAAAAAAGGGTGCAGACAAGTAGGGCGTTTGCGTATGGGTAGGGCGTGACCGGTGCGGGCAGAGTATGAAGACGGCACCTGGGCATCGCCACGCTCTAGCTCCGTTCCCGTACACTTTTGACAAG